AGAGTACAGCTGAATCAACTCCGTCTGCATCGACCTACACCTTTCCATTCGATTGCCATGCCAACTAGATGTCCCATTAGCTCATCGATACCAATAGTTTACAGAAGTCGAGATCGACCAACCTCTGCGTCCGAGCAAGGGGCCGCTCTGCATCATCCTGTATCACGGAGCTCCTGTGCCGGCGATTGCTTGCTGCGGAAGTTGCATGAAAGGAGTGAGACCTCGAGTCTGTTTTGGGAGACTCGGGTAGAACGGGGCTGCGCATGTATTCGGATTCTCGTCGAGACAGGCGCCGAGAAGGCTCATATAGCCTTTCGACATAGGGCTCCGGCGCTACATTGCCGCCTCCAGCGACGCACTGCGAATTTCTAGAGGAGAAGGGTATTGAAGCGGCGAGATAGGACTCGGAGATCCGGGTGCTGCTGGAAGCAGCGGCTCCTGTGAGGTTTCGTGGCCTGGGCACCGCTCCATGGCTGGCTGCTCGAGGTTTGGATAGCTTCTGAGTTGCCTTTCGAGGCGCCTCTGCCGACGGCGTGTTTCCCATGAATGAAAAGCCCCGGAAGGGTGAATTGAAGAAAAGGAGAAGGAGGAGTGATGTCCGTTTTTCCCCGGACGAGACAGCGCGATAATCGAGGGAGCGTCGGGGGTAAACAACAACCAGGCCAGCTGCGGGAGATGCTTATGTGTGGAATGCAGTCGTCGCCATGTCTCTCACAAAACCCGGGTGCTAATGTCAAAACATGGGGCTGCGCGTGGTTCTCCGCAGCAGCATTTGTAGAAGACTTGGAAGCAAGGTAAAGCTAGGCAGAGCTCGTCGTCAGGTCGGAAGCCGGCTCGTCAAAAGTCTAAGCTGGCAAGAATCCTCCGAGATAGTGCGATTGTATGCAAGACATGCAAAGAAGGTTTCCAGCAGGGCGTAGCGCAGTCGGGTATATAGTTTGCCTTTGTCTTGGAGTTTCTCCTCTCCAGTTCTCCGCTTCCCAGAAACCAGGCGACAGAGGGCACCGTGATGGGGAACCTCGGAGAGGGGTGAAGCTTTTGGCCAGGAAACGCCACGCCCGAAGTGCTTGTTCCTAAGACGATGACCTTTTGCGCCTCGCGGCCGGTTCCGGCGTCAAATCTCTCGTCTGGCGGTTCGTAGAGGGCCAATGCAGCTCAGTCTGAATCAGCGTCGGTGCTGGGCGATGGTAATGCGCGTTGAAAAGCCAGATGTTGCGATGCGAAAGAAGAGAGAGAAGAGAAAAAGCCCTGGGTGCCGGAGGAGCAACCCGAAAGTCGCGACACCAAGGCTCGATGATGGCCTTCACACATCATCTCCCACGGCAATCCAACAAGCGGCTAGAGCTCGTCGTATATGCGCTGGGCAGGTCCACAATTCTGGCGCGCCGCTGATGGAATTGAAGCCGCTTCCTGGTTGACGGGGACAGGGGCGGCCAAATTGCAACCGAAGCTACCCCTGTGAGATTGGCTGGTTGGTTGCATCGCAGCCAAGAGTTCGTCACGCTGCATGTCTGAGGTCTGAGACAAGCAGACTGGCGAAGATGCTGGAACAAGACCTTGTTCCCCCTCTCGTCGTCTTCACTCTGTATCGTTCTGCTGGCTTCTCTTGCCCTTCCGCGGCGTGGTGAGACGAGCCCGGCGGCAGAGACGAGGACGATCGATCGTCCAAAAGCTAAGAGGCATGTGAATCCGCAGGCATCTCCGTGCTAGCAATTTCGCCGGCCGTTGGGCTTTGCCATGGCCAGCTGGAGAGCAAGATTCGGGACTAGCTGGCCTAGCGCGCTCAATAGCTGAGAGCGAGGAGAGCCAGCCAAGGCCATGATGGGCATTGCCTGTTCCGAACTCCGCAGCGCGGTGACGATGTGACGGCTGAGGCGACGCTTGGGTCTCGTCTTTTGATTTCCTGGTTTCCGCAGTCTTCTCACATGTTGTCTCTTCCCAATTCTCTTGTCGTCTGAAACCGCAATGCCAGCAAAGATCACCAAAGGCTCCAGCTACAGTCTCAGCCACTGTCGAGCCCTTCCTTGCGCAGCGAACATCGTCGTCATCGGCATCATCATCAGCGAGTCAATCGCATCGAATCGATCGACGGCTACTGTTTGCATCGTCAGTCAACCAGCGCTAACAAGCAGTAACAAAAGTCAAAAGACGGATCCCCGGCTTGCGAAATCTCCATCCAGCTCTCCAGCTGCATGGCGTGTGGGGAGCCCTCATTACACCAACGATCTAGCGATAATTACCGGCGCCCCTCACCAGCATCGACTCGACTCGATTCCGGAGAGAAATGGAAAGAGAACGAGTCGCTTCTGTTAATTTCAGGCGTGTTCCAGCCTTCTTCCTTGCGCTGATGAGATTGACTCGATTGATAAACGAGCAGCACGATGGGCAAAGTCGCACCGGCAGTGGAGGGAAGGAAATGAGCATGGCCATGACTAAGCTGCCCCCTTTCCCTCTGCTCGGAATCTGTAACATGAACAGATGAAGCAATGTCAGTCAACACCTTACCTTAGATAGTATCGAGTGTTACGAGGCGGCTCTTGCGGATACTGCACTGGCAATTGGAAGTCGTACGAGGCAGAGCAGCTTGGCCTGTTCCTGGTGGTTGTCTTACGGGCATCACTCACATGGGCTCAGCACTGCTCCATCTTGATTCCTTGCTGACAATCAAGCTCTGCTCTGCGGGCAATCCTATTCTCTAGCATTGCTGACTCCCCCACTCGAAGAAGCAAAAGAAAAGGCACAAGAAGAAGCCAAAAGGCAATACTACTAGGTAACTGTAAATTGTGCTGACCGGGTCGAGGAACCCCCCCGGCACCCGAAATCTCGTTTCCGCCCTCGGACCATGGGCTCCAATCTCTCCAGAGGATCCGTGCTTGGGCAATTGAGTATGGATCATATTGCATCATGTCGCTCGGCGGCCGGCACGCACGGAGGAGAGGCTGCCGATGCCGAGCAGCAGCTTCTGCATGTCTCATATTAGAGTTACCCTAGACCACCATCGTGAGAGTTTGGGTGCACTCTTTTTTTTTCTCTTTTTCTCTTCTTTTGCCTTTTCTTGTAGGTCGAGACTTGGTTCTCTAAACTATCTTGGCTACTAATCTGCCTAGCATAACGTGATGTCATGCTTGCTTTTCATAACGAACTGCCCGGACGATGACGATGTAGGTTTGTCTGCTACAAATTCTATCTTCTTACGCCGAGGATACCCTCAATGAGATCCTACCTATGGGAATGCTGGGTGCAGCACATGTGTTTCTGCCTTACCTCGGTATCAACAACAGTGTCGTCCTCATTCAGCCATACAGGCTTTCTCTCCTCTGCAGCCAAGTCTACGGCTACGATAAGTCCTCGCGCGTGTCTCAGCTTTCTTCCGCATCCAGGCTGAACCAAGTGAGTGGCGTTTTGTACAACTCATCATCCTCTTCCCCCCTCCCTCCACGACACCGAAAACGACCTCCCCTCACTCCCCAATCA